ATCGGTCATTCAGAATTTGATTATCCATCGGTAGTCTATAACCTATTAAGAAATATCTTCAATCGTAATCTCTTAAAAATCGTAAATCGTTTATGTATAACACGTTCAACTTTTTGTCGACGATATAAAACAAACTATTTACTTCTATCGACTATAAAAGCCAAGAAGACTCATTGCCGATATAACAACGCTCGAGTGAACGAAAAACGAGGGGACATTTTTACAACGACCAGACGCGTCACATTGTATCAAAGTCTACCACCCAATGATGATATACGGCTTGGAAATTGTTCGATCGTCTATAGTTACACACACACACACACACATATATATACATCACATGTAGGTGTGCATACACGAAACTTGGAAATTTATTTAGGTAGGTATTTATTAAACGCAACCACCTGACCCTACCTACTCGACCGTCCGAAAAATTCGTTCAAGCATTTTACTTTTTTCCTTCCCCTCTATTTTTCCATTATTTAACGTTTAGATCTATTTTCTACTCGCGCTTTATTTTCCTCCCCTCCCCGTCCCTCTTTTCTCCCACCCTTTTTTTTACTCTTTCTCTTTTTCTCATAGAACACTCTAGGCTATCCTCCTTTCTTCTTCTATATTTCGTAAGGAAAAATAAAATAAAAACTTACCCTTTATTCTTTCCATTTACCTCTTCTTCGTGTTTCTCTTTAGCATGGAAATATGTCAATGAAATCGATGCACCCTCATTCACTTCCAATTTTGTTGACAAAAGAGATGAAATGGCCCATCATCTGCACCTGCAATGAAAACGTGTTCGAAATATAATATATGATAAAGTTGTAAATTATTTCACGATATCTCAGACTTTTATAAATGAAAAATCGATGTTATATAGAAAACCCAATAATAACATTTCTATTCTGATATCATACAACGATGTAATAGGTCAGATTATGATATTATTAGAATATTTTGAGAGATATAAAAACATTTTTCCAAATGATATTTTGATAATATTACTTTTTTGTCTTATTCTTTCGAGATTTTCTCTTTGAAATATTTCCATGAATTTCGTATATTTTCCCTTTTAACGAAATATTTTTATTATTCGTAATGATTCCATTTCCTGATAATTAAAAAATTCAATTCATTTCTCGTTAAAGCTATCCTAGCACTTGGACAATCAACTTTTAGAGTCCATCTACCGTAAAAGTATACATCATTACATTAACTCAAATGTCCAAGCAGATAATAATCCTAATCGATGACCTATTAAATTACTAAAATTAAACTTCCGTTTCATTTCATATTGAAAAGCAAACTTAAGTGAATAAATAATGCAATAAATATAATTGTATATTTTTTGTAATATTTTTATCTGCAATACATATTCTATAAATATTTTAGATTCGTTTATTAATTAATTCGCGTATTCATATTTAAATAACTCTTTAGTTTTTAAATCTTTATATTATATTAAATATCAAATATATTCAAAAGACGAAATCATGAGTATGAGAAAGAATAATCTTACAAAACAAATATTTAATCGATTCTACTCGATTCTACTTCGTTGCAAAAATAGAATCGACAGTTCGTTCGTGTATAAATTCTTTCACATGCAAAACATTATCCTACGCAATATCAAATATTTCAAAGACAAAATTACAAGCATGCAGCTACTAATCTTACAAAATTAAATATCAAGTTCGTCAAAGGTATAGCTCTTTTGAGAAATAAAATTAAAATAAAATCAATGAATTTAAAAATCGAGAAAGAAATACTAATCTTTTTCAAATGATAGAAAATGAATGAAATCACGAAACATGAATACTTACAATGCATTCCAGTGGGATGAAGCTCAGTGGCACCATGGTGATGCATCTCGCGTGAATCTAATAAGAAACTATAGATAAGTTCCTTATCGCGAAACCGAAATTTGATTATACGGCGAACAACACTAACTCTAATTCGCGTTTGATTTTAATTTGATTTACGCCCGTTCACTGACTTTACAACTAATTCAAAGACTGCTTTGCACGCAGTCAATGCAAGTACAAAAATTACACACTTTATTTAAAATCTTCATTGATGCACTGACTCTAATACGCGAACAGTCTTTGCGACTGTTTATAGATAAAAATACAACTTTACTCGAACAAACTCTAATGCAATTACACTGCATTGGTCGCAGTTAATTTAATATATAAATTTTAAAAGTAGTTCGCGAACGCGACGGAATTRAAATTAACGAACGAACGTGCTTCTAATCCGTGATTTTAATTATATTTAAACGATCAAACACTCCCGTATATTGCTTCGCGCACGATTGCAATCTGAAACAGAAATAAAAAACAATATATATATATATATACTCTAGTAATTACATTACTATTATTGAAAACTATTATAAAATGTTTGTGAAATTATTGAATACAAAAATATACTCACTTTGAATCTTCATCGATGAATGCACGATGGGTCTCCTACCCTTAGGATGACGATGGGGGCACACAATTAAACCGAATAAAAGAAACTTACGGAGTTTCTTTACACGAAAAAACGAAACTTTTACATACGGCGTACAACACTGACTTTACTTTTCGATTTTTTTATATTTTATTTTCACGATGCAACACACGAGTACTTCATTGCATACGCGCTCGATTGCAATGATGTTCTGAAACAGAAAAAGGAAAAGAACAATTAATGTCATCGTCGTAATAAAACACCATTGAGGTTATCATAGAAATGTTTAATAAAAAAATATACTTACTTTTAGTCTTCATTGATGACTGCAGGATGGGTTTCCTACCCTTA